TCTGTCTGTCTGTCTGTCTGTCTGTCTGTCTGTCTGTCTGTCTGTCTTTCTTACCTGTCTTTCTCACCTGTCTTTCTCACCTATCTCTGTCTCACCTGTGTCTGTCTCACCTGTCTGTCTCACCTGTCTGTCCCACCTGTGTCTCTCTCACCTGTCTCTGTCTCACCTGTCTGACTCACCAGTCCGTCTGTGTCTCATGTGTCTCTGTCTCACATGTCTGTCTCACCTGTCTGTCCGTGTCTCACCTGTCTTTCTCACCTGTCTGTCTCACCTTAGACTTAGACTTAGACTTAGACTTTATTGATCCCTTGGGAAGACTCCCTCAGGAAATTAAGGTTACCAGCAGCTTAAAGGGTAAAAAGTATTAAGTTAGAATCACCTGTCTGTCTCACCTGTCTGTCTCACCTGTCCGTCTCACCTGTCTGTCCCACCTGTGTATCTCTCACCTGTCTCTGTCTCACCTGTCTGACTCACCAGTCTGTCTGTGTCTCACCTGTCTGTCTCACCTGTCTTTCTTACCTGTCTTTCTTACCTGTCTTTCTCACCTGTCTTTGTCTCACCTGTCCGTCTGTGTCTCACCTGTCCATCCCACCTGTCTCTCTCTGCAGGTCCTGAGGAACGTGGAGGACCGCCGTAGTGTCCATCCTCACTTCCTGGACTTCCTGTCCTCTCTGGGCCGGCCGGTGCAGGTGAGGGGGGGAGGAGGCACCGCCCACCTGACAGGTAAGGCCCTCTGCCGTCCAATGAGAGCGGCCGAAGCATCAGACAGCCGTGTCCTGATTGGCTGCCGCCTGCCGCCTCCGCACAGTAAAAATGGCGGTGGTGAATTACCACCCACAGTGTTAATTTTAACACCCACAAAGTGTCTATATGTGTCCAAGTTAGCTGGTGATAAAGTAACACTTTTCAAAGTGTAAAAAAGGTTAACACCTATTTTTTTGTTAAATTAACACCAGATATTGTTAATATTCAACAATACCGAGTGTCAAATTAACATTACAACGGTGTTTTTTTTAGGGTTAGGTTTAGGGTTAGGGTTAGGGTTAGGGTTTTATTTTTATTTTTTTGCTTTTTAGATACACACATCGCCAATATTTCAGATAATACAAATATACAAGTATTATCCATGGTTTAAAATGACAACTAGAACTTACCAAATATAACAGAATTCAAGTTTACCATTAGCCTATTTGGCAAAACGGCTGGACCTTGAATTTGGTGGATTTTTAATCCAAGATGGGTTAAATATCGTGCACTCTTTGAAGTCCCAAACTAAAAAGCACATTTCCAACGAAACAATGGTCAT